ATGCATGCAAGCAAGCTTTGTAATACTAATATACCACGTCCACTACCCATCAAACCACTTTATGAACCCGGAGTAAATAATTTTACTCCGGCTTATATTATTGCTCTATTCATAAATTATCTATCCAAAAAGCAAGTTTATTAGTTATTCAGTTGTTGCCTTAAAAATAGACAAATGAACAAACATACGTTCGTAAATATTGCTATGAATATTTTCTGAGAATAACAATTAAGAATATATTTACAGAAATGTACCTAATAATGAATAAACGAGAAATGAAATATTTGTCAAATATCAATAAAAAATACAGTATATATTTTTTAATTAATAAAAGTCTTCTAAATGTTTTTCATTTGTTGCAGGTGACAATACCAGTTGCGTGCATTTATTGGTAAGGAAATTTGAACATTATTTTATTCATAACTTTTACAATTAATACTGCTAAATAAACGTAACAATATAATATTATACATATTTTTTATAAAAGTAAAATATTATTCAATAAAATGTTAAAGGTAATTAATTTGAACTTTACTAATATTGTGATTACACTCATACTCACTGGTCGTTCTTGTTAGAATTTAAAAATAGTACTGCGAGTTTTTGTAACAGTCTCATAATATTTTAAACTTATCTAATATAAAAGAGACGTAGTGTTTAAAAACAATTCCACACATTTAAATTCAAATAAAATTGATATAAAGATCACATAATCACTAACATATGTCGTTTATCACTTTGATGAGCACTTCACTGTTGTAAGTGACAAAACAAGTTTATATCGAATTTAAAAGCTCGGTTCTATAAACTGGCCGTTAAATCTCGCAGTACGTAGTTGTAAATTTTCTGAAGACTTGAGCTGTTTTACGATGGACATTCGCTCCTCCCACCTGGGACTTTGCGGCCATGTGATGGTTCCTATACATCGATCCTCTATAAAACAGGCCATCATTGCCTGTCGGCGTTTCTTTATCTCAAGCGAATTTTTACACACTATAATATCTTTACTCAATTATTTATTAGCACATACAAACTTTTACAACTTTAGTACATAATCAAACACAATTTAGATTTTATAGGTTCTCGTAGATTGTTGAAAGTTGTTATATAAAGCCGTCATAAACATCGATAGGTATAGGATAAAGCACAAAGTAAGAAACTATAACTGCTCGCTTATCAAATTAACATATAAAATGTAAATCTTATAATTATATATTAGACGTTGCTACAATGTGTGCTAAATTTATACTATTAACAGGTAGGTAAGGTACCCATATAAGTATTTGTATCCTTATTAGATTTTTTGGGTTTGAACTGTAAATCAAGACGAAATCTTATTAGACAATAATTTATAAATAATAGAATAAAATTAATCCAATATATACTTATCTACTGTACGGTTAATTAATCTGTCTTTAAAAATTTATAAGTATTTTATTTTAGTGTTTTTGTGTGTAATGCTTATAATGTTTGGAAATGAATTTTCAATCTTATGTTATGAATGTAGTTGAAATTAAATAGTAAAACTAAAGTTAATTTTTATTGTGTTTGTTGTAAGAGAATAAACAATAATTATTTATTTTAAGAAACTCTGTTGTAAAGTATTAACTATTATAAATAAACATTAACCTCAGTGATAGAAGATATCAGATAACTAATAAATATTTTTGTGAATAAAAATATAATTTCTACACATGGCGTTTTTATTCCTCAAATTAATTATAATTAATTAAATCTTTTAGATATACCTACCTATTAATTTAATATAACTGTATGTAGAAGTACAATAAGAATAAGCGATTATCCACTCTATTGGATCTAGTCTAATACCTAACTGGACATAATTAGATTTCTTTATTAAAACATTTGAAAATTTTATATTTCCTGTATTTTATGTAACGTGTAGTTAATAGTGCGAAGTACCTATCTATTAATTAAAAAATTTAATAAACCATTTATTACCTATAACTTCTAACTGCAAATGAAGTCGTAAGTAAGGGTATGATTTTTATAGATACATACTTCATATTGATAAATAAACAAAAACAAAATGTTAATACTCATTTCACTTTACACTTGTATTACAGCTGAGAATTTACTATTGGATTAGGTACTTGGACCTATACCACTTTAAACGTTTTATTTTACAACATTCGAGCTATCATTGTTAGCTTCAATAAAGCAGTTAACACGAGGCTATATTCTGTAGATGAACATAAAATTGAAAATATTTTTTTCAATATCTATTGTACTACGATGTACTACGAGTATGTACATCCATATATGGATATTAACACAATCTTACCTTTTTGCCTTGTTCACGCATTAAACTGGCATGTTAGGCGTAGATATAAAATAATTATGCCTAATAATTAATTGCACTAAAAAGTCACTGTCTTTAAATCCTAAATTACATGACCCATGCTATGAATCATATAATGAATATTTTACATTTAATACTTTTATTTCATTCTGCGTCGAGCTTAAAATGAAATAAGTGCTTCATGAAATTTTAAAATGTTTTTTATCTATTTTTTCATTGAATAAACATAATATAAACAATATCATACGTTTTTTCTTCAATATTCTTAATGAATATACCTATCTATTAAATAAGAATGAAACTATCAATTAATATTCATATTTATTATTATTTATTAAATTCATGAAAAATTAATGACATATTAAATTGTTTAATATTTAGGAAAAAAACGAGACATCTATACAATTTAATTTATTATATTATTAAGTAGTCTCTCTACAGATGTAGCGATATAGTGTGCAGATAAATATTTTGATAGTATTGCCACTATTTGAATGTCAATGCCTATATATGATTTTTTACGTCATAACAAAAAAATCAATTACAGAGCAATAAAAAATGGCCCAATCGTAAAATAAATGACCTAAACTGGCCATATCAAGCTCTATATACGTTTACGGCATAAACATCACAATAACAACATAAAACCTATACTTATGCAATGTTCTACTGCCACACCGCCGTACCACCGACCTGATAAAGCTGAAAAGGCAAGTTAAGCCTATAAAAACCATGCACTAAACACCAACCGACGTTCTAAAGTGTAGTAAATAAATAAATGCCACGCACAATAAACGGTTTTATTTAAATGCTCGTAAAGTTTATTATTGTACACGTGCTTGATGTGCTTACGGCCTCGAAGTATGAATGAAATGCGGGAAAGAGAAAGACGATTTGTTGAAAGAGGATGAATGGTACAAGTTCGACCACGTGGCCGGCGTAATACAGTTTAGTGCAATTCTTATTAGAATCTATTATTATATTGCTGCTTTTCAAACATTTAATTTAAATATTTCTTATATGAAATAAGAAGCGGTGCTAAACACTATTTAATAAATTCGAAATTTAAGAAACCAGTATCTATAAATCTTACAAGAAAGTGATGATTAAATTTATTTTTAACACTAGCACAAAACAAATCTATACCTAGAGAACCGTGTATTTTTCCGGGATAAAAAGTAGCCTATTTGTTATTCTAGACTATAATCTATCTCTGTGCTAAATTTTATCCAAATCCGTTCAGCCGTTCTAGTGTGAAAGAGTAACAAACATCCATACATACTAACAAACTTTCACATCTATAATATTAAATAATAATAATAATAATACGGATATTATATAAATATATGTTACTGTATTTAGGTACAATATAACAGCTACCTATGTAGTTTAAGTGTAATCAATTTTTAATAAATATTTAATAATAGCATCTCACCCTCGCTCGTGAAAAACAAAAACAAGTCTACCCTACGGAAAGTGTAATTTTTTTCGGGATAAAAAGTAACCTATGTACTATTCCAGACTATAATCTATCTCTGTGCCTAATTTCATCCAGATCCGTTCAGCTGTTCTGGTGTGATTGAATAACAAACATCCATTCAAACTTTCGCGTTTGTAATATTAATATAATATAATGAGATTTATTTTAATTTATGAAATTCTAGCATTGCCCGCGGCTCCGCCCGCGATCAGATGACCAAAAACCAAATTCTTAGGTTTTACATTTAGTATATTCTTATATTGCAGTTTTTGTATTTTTTCTCAGATATAAACCATTTTCCCGCGGTAAAAAGTATCTTATATGTTGACCCGGATAACCAGCTATCACCATACCAAATTTTATCATAATCCCTCCAGTGCTTTTTCTGTGATACGGTAATAGACAGACAGACACACAACAGACAAAAATTCTAAAAACTATAGATTCGGCCTCTGTATCGATAATAATGTCTATTTCAATAAGATTTTCAAAAAAATATTTAATGTACAGATTCGGCTTATTTACGATTTTATTATATGTATAGATAAATAAAAGTATTTAATTTATATCATAGGCTAGTAGGTTTTATTATAAAATAAATTCTTTAGTAACCATAATATAATTAAAAAAAAATCAAATGACTAAAGCAGTGACAAATTTGTATTTCTACTTTAATTATAAATCGAAAAGAAATTTTACAAAAATATAAAAGTCTTGGTGCTTTGTTGTTTAAAGCTGTTTATTTTGACAGCTAGAAGTGCCGGAATGGTTTGTGATTGGCGGTGAATGTTCTGCACCGGATCACTATTGGCGTAGACGAGGAGCGCGCGGGGGTGCGCGGGGCTCGGCGCCATTACGAACAATGGCCGGCTGAGAGCTCGTTAGCGAATAGCTTTTATCTCTTTCTAATGTAGGACACGCAGGTAGGAATTAATGAGACAGAGATGGTTCCGGCACGTCGCCCCTCGTGCTAGCTGTGTCTCGCTCGCACGCACGTGCTACGTTTTGCCGTCTCGTGCGGGCCGTGGCAGCGGTAACGCTCGCCACGACGGGAATTCAGAGTCGTAGAGCCTCATACGCGGGTCATAAACGATCCGCGGCCATAGTAGAGGTGCACGCGCGAGAATCGATCCGAATCGCCGGCGATAAACGCATCTCCCGCGAGGCGATCGTCGCGCGCTGCGTCGCCGCCGAGCGATGAGTTCCAAGTTCATTATCGATAGCATGCTCCCCAAGTACCACCAGCAGTTCCATCATCAGAACTTGTTCGCGGGTGCAGGGGCTTCCCCGATAGAGGCGTCGTTGTCGTCGTCGTTGTCGTCGTCTTTATCGACGTCGCTGTCATCGTCGTTGTCAGGGGGCCTGGGGGCGGCAGCGCTGGGTGCCGGCTCTCCAGGGGCCGGGAGCCCGCAGCGCTCCTCATCATCATCATCTGCATCGCCGGGAGCACCGGCGAGGATGTATCCTTACGTGTCACATCACCAGCAGTTCGGTGGGTCGGTACCGTTTCCGGCGAGCAGTGGACTCTCGGCGGATGACAAAAGTTGCCGCTACCCGACCGCGGTGGGAGGAGACCCGATGGTTAACTACGCCTTGGGACAACATAATGGCGGGGCGGCGGTGTCCGCAGCATCAGCTAGCATGGCGGCAGCGGCTCAATTCTACCATCAGGCTGCAGCATCAGCAGCATCCGCGGCATCTGCAGCTACCGTTGACGCCATGGGAGCCGCCTGCTCACAGCCTTCAGCTCAGCCTCTGCCAGACATACCACGCTATCCTTGGATGTCAATCACCGGTAAATCTTTCACTCTTTCACTGCATGAACTTCACTGTCCGTTTGATTATTTTTCTTTTTTATTTTGTTTCTGAAATGGAATAGTATTTTGTGTTACCTCTATATAAAGCACAAACTTAAATTTTAATTCAATTTTGTTTGCTTTTTGGTTATTTTGAAAGCTTTATTATTGAGTTTTTTAAATGAGGCATTTTTGCATTATAGGATATTGTATTTAATTTCTAAGAGCATGATAATTTAATATAACGCTCATGTAATAAAAAAAATAAATGTGAAAACGAAATTTAAGTATATTGACAAAGAATCCAATAAGAATATCTATATACAAACATTATTTACAAATATTTTTATTTCACTTTTATTATCATTTAGGGATATAATAAAATTTGTGAGCCCATATTAATAAAATTCTTTGTTTAGAAAGCTATAAATATGTACTCTCTGTCAATATTTTTTATATCAAATAATGATTATTTTAATTACGCATTATTATAACACTATAAGTATCATTAACCTATTTGAATTAATATGATTATTTATTTCTTGAAGATAATAGCACTAATAAAAATGTTAAAAATATTTCTCGTGTAGCGACGCGACGGATAGCGTCGCTACTTTCGGTTTTGGTAACGCCTCTCTTCTTTTAATAATAATATGTATTATAACAAATATAAAAAAAATAATAAACATAACTTAATAAATACAAATATAATAAAATATAAGGAAATAGTATAGATATATTTACACATAATTAATAGGAAAACTTGATTGAAAATTATTTTCATCTATTTAATTTTCGGCAAAATCAAATAATATGTAAACCGATGACAATTCATTATTTTAAACGTTTAAATTTAACATTTAATGAATAGATTACTAAATACTAAACAAACAAAATTAAATATCAATGTAATACTCTTAAAGCTTAATAAAATAAGTAGGTACCTATGTACAAACATTAATTTCACTAAAAATTATAAAAAAAACAACGTCAATTATTTTATTTTTTTATGGATTCTACTCGCAAATTTTAGAAAACCGTCTAAATTACCTAAACAAAACTAACCTAGGTTATTAAACAGATTCTAGACCGCGTGTAGTATGCATATTTCACGAAGACATGTGAGGTCCACTTTGTACTCGAAAACGACAATCCATTACAGTCAAACTACCTGTACGTTTTGAATACAATAGCACAATTATTTATATCCGCGGTTTTATTACAGTCCATACTAATCCTACTATATACAATATATATGCACTAATATTTGTATACATACTTGTTTAGTTTTATGATTAATAATTAATATTTCATAAACAATTAACGCTCTCAATAATGTTGAAAATTAAACCACTTAATACCTGCTGTATAATAATAGCTCTACACTAAGAGCTTGTTATAAGTGTATTGTATCAAGTATTGCTGCTGTTAACTTAATATTTTTCATAATTTAAATAAGAAAAGATAACTGTATTTTAAATTAATAAAATAAAATTATTTGTAAAATTAATCTTGTATTAGGGCTCTAGTATGAAGTATCTTAGCTACATGAAAGAAATATGCAGTAAATAAATTTATTTCATTTGAACACGAATTTCTAAAAAATAAACTTATGTATTATTCGCTTCCATAGCTTTGAAGTAGTATTAAAGAAATGTGAGTCTGAAGCATAAAGATTTTTACATCTGAAGCGTGACCTTCCCGGCAGATGACGGTCATCAATAAAGCAAAAATGTAAAAGACCCCATAATCAAAGCCGATCTGCCAGAATAACGGCCTCATAGCTCACTGAAATTATACCAAATAGCCTATAATCGACTTGTTTTTGTTTTAAATGCGTTCATTTTCATGATTTGTTAGCAATCCTAGATTATGAGAATTACTGAAGAGTATATAAAAATATATCAGGAGCTGGCGACATTGTGGGCTTTCAAATTTAAAATGACTGAAAAATAAATGTCATTGTGCCGACATTTATTCACAATAATACTCAATGTTCGTCATCTATTGTACAATAGTACATTTTATTAAAACATTTATTGTATAGATTTCTTCATAAATGTAATATATAACTTTTTATTATCATGCTTTATTTCTTAACTAGACACCTTAGGACTTATTTATTATAATGACATACATTGACTTATATGATGTAGGTACATTAATAGGTAGGTACTGTAATTAATTTAATTAAATAAAAATTTAAAACACCTGTAACTCAATTTAAAATAAAATTTAATTATGAAAGTAGACAAACTAAATACAAAAATAAAAAAAGCTTTTCATGATTTATTAACCTTCCAGCAACGCTAGCCTATAAAACATAATATTTATAATATCCAAATGAAAATAAACTTGTTTTTCGATATATCAAAGGAATTTCTTTAATTAAATATAAAAAAATTGAGTTAAATCGTGCACGACATATCCCGTCTGACGTGATATATCGTTAGAGATGAGCCGGTCACATGTGTGCGGGGGATCACAGCGCATGCGCCACAAATATGGCCGACGCAACTGACCAATCACAGGGCCCGCAACACCCGCTCACATTATACCGACGGCTCTTAATGCTATTGATTGCTATTTGTAGCACATTGCTAATTACTAATGCTACTGTTACATACATTTCAAAATGTCATATTTACTGTAATTCTCTAAATCCGTTTTCAAAATTCTAACAGATTTATTTTTAAATTTATATATTAAAATTAATACATTATGTATATAAATTGCAATTACATGTCGATGTGTATAAAGAAATGATAGATACCGTTTAAACCAATTATAAATACTTTAAAAACAATTTTATATAGGTTAGTATAGATCATTACGGTCCTAATTCCTCAATAAAAGAAAAATAATCATGTTATATAAGAATATCACAAAATATGGCTGTTAAAATTAACTACAATAACTATAATTGTATAAAGTAACATATTAATTGAATGCACATAAATATAAAACAAATTTTAATGTCATAAAAAAGAAGAAAAAATGTGGTAATTTTTATTTGATTTAATTGATAGAGCCACTTTTTAGTGCACTAACTATTCGTATCGCAGTGATCATAACTTAGATTTACATTACTTAATGAAAAAGTTTCTAAATAAAAAAAAATAGTTTACAATATGGTATTAAACTTGAATAATTGACTGAAATAACTCTAGATAGAGTTACAAGTAAAGCATTTACTTAAATTCTAAATAAGATTTAAAATTTGTTTTTTATTGTAATGGCGTTATTCCCTTTTACTTTACATAACACATTACATAATTTTAATCGAACGATAAATTAGCTACATTTATGAAGATTTGAATAGATTATATAGGTAATGATTTCTATAATTTATGCTCAAAAGATATCTTAATTGTATCTATAACGCGGATGGAATTATATTTATACACTCTAACGAGAAAGTAGTAACGCTTAATACCTTGTTTTTATCGAAGATTTGCATAATAATTTAAACTTAATTAATTCTTTCCGTACTAAATTTAATCACAATATAAAAAATTACAATAAAAATTAATAAATGCATACAAATTTACACATAAATGATATAAGATTGTCCTATTGTGATTTTAAAATATTATTATGATATACAAACTTTTACCAGCGACTCCGATCGGTTGCTAGATAGCTATATAACTTTCCTATAAATATTAGAATTAAAATGCATATAAATAATTTAAATCTTCTGGTAATTCTAGATATTACGGCATTCAAAAAAACCAAAAATCAAACACTTCAGTGTTATATATTCGTATATAATTATGACATAATACGTATACCTAACATACCTATAGGTATGTATATACATTACATTATACATATACCTAATATATCTGAGCTTATCTTAGAAATGGTTGAATTAACATTAACCTAAATAATATTTACGTATCCTACTTAGATTATACTATAATACGAGTATAACTAACACCAAAACAAATAAAATAGTCACCATATCTATTGTAAAATGTACAAAAAGCATTCTAAACAAAGTGTTATCTTATAATAATATTTCTGGCTAAGAAGCCAGAAATATTATTTACACGGGTAGGTACACTCTGATGTAGTTTTTGGTTATATAAAATGTAACTAAATTTCTATACATATAATATTACTTTCTAGTATATCCCTATAATAAAACATTTAATTATATGAAAATGCTAAAAAAATATATTGTAAACTTATATTGTCATTACGATGTATCAAATAATCGAACTTAAAACCATTAAGGATCGTTTGATCAATGCATTTAATGTTTCCGATTGACACAAGTCATTTAATTTAGGGCCACTAAAAAACCGGAGTGTACTTTAATTGGTACCTAAAGATTCTCGATAATTTAATGCATACATTTTCAGTGATACTACTTATCAGTCACTCATTTGAACTTGACTTTTTACAAAGATATTTACATTGTATCCTACCACAATTTATGTTAATGACAAGTTACCTTGTATCCTAATTAAGGATCAATATGTAGTACGATATAAAATATTTCTTGGAAAACCACTTAGCATTAAAATAGATGACCAATATTTTATGTGTCAAAGCCGTTATATTAGGTACAGTACCGTTTACCACGCATTTACAATGTTAGCAAATTATGTAGGTTGTGGGTAGGTACTTAGTTAAAAGTTATAAAACAATTATTATAAAAATAAATTATAATTTTTCCCGTTAAGATTCTTATAAATATTATCCTACCTTGGTAATACCAAGTTACGTCACTAAAATAATATTTTGAATTTCTAATGTTATTTCATGTAATCACGATTTAAATGCATGACTTATAATAAAAATAATGTACATTTAAACACTAACAATTAGGACATGCAAAGAAAATATTTAGTTACAAAAAAGTTAATTAAATAAATGATTACAAACACATCTTAAATCCACCTTTTTGCTGATAAAAGTAATAAAATAAATATTTACTCGATAATTAAAATAAAAAAAGCTGTATACATGAGTACATAGAGCTTACGTAATCAAATATTATTTATAAGAAAAACATCAATGTTATTCTTTTAATCTATTACCGTTTATTTTCTACTACTGTCAAGGATTTTTCACGTAGTTAATTGCACGCGCACTGAGTTTTGAGAGATTCTACCATGTTTGCTTAGTTAAAGTTTGTTAACGACTACAAAAAATATACCTGTACGCTTCAGTAACATTTTTAATTTCTTCGTTTTGTTATTTTGGTATTTTTTTAACTGAATAAAATAGAGGAACTTTAGTAAAACTTACCGTTAGGTACTAAAATTATTTAGTGACCACGAATTTAACTGCATTTTATAACTGTTAAACCATTTTTTTAATGAAATACTATTTTAAAATATTCAACATCAATATACCTAATATATAAAATTGCATTCAAAATACGATTTCAGATAAATATTTTACCCTTAAAATTCTTCTCATATTAGATAGAGCTTGAGCCACGCATCGTTTATTTAAAACAAAACTGCAAAACTCAAATTAAAAATCTTATCAAAACAAATTAAATGATTGTTGTATTTTAATTGTTAACTAACCTTTGTTGTATTCGTTTTTGTTTTAGTTGCATTTAGCTTGCAATTAAAAATTACCTTTTATATTACTTAAGTAATCACACATTATAAAACTAAAAATTTTGTTTTTAATCATTTATGTTGCATGTGTTTATATCGGAATAAGAACATTCATTACGATTGATAATAGATTTTCCATTTCCAGATTGGATGAGTCCCTTCGACCGCGTGGTCTGCGGTGAGTTCAATGGTATTTATCGTTTCAATTTTATTTTCTTTTAGTTCTAAGTCTTAGCCTAAGTAGAGATTACTGAGCCAATATACACGTGCGTCCAACTATTTTTTATCGTAATTACTATTTTTATAATCGATTAACTATACGTATTGTCACGCTCGTGTATAAAGGCTCTTTAAAACATGCCTTCCGTAACATTTTGTTGCAATTATTCATTTGATATGGCTTCGTTGAATCATTGCAATTGATATTTCTACTGTTTTTTATAATAACGCAAAAATATTCATTGCAAATAATGAATTAAATGCAATTAATTATTTAGAATGATTTGATAATAATATTTGTAATTACTCTATTATGTGTGTCTATTTATAACAATTTTGTTAATCGCCAATTTTGACATGATTCATATATTTTATTAAGATAATATTTTATCTAAACGTAGAGTCATCTTAAAGAACTTTGACAACCTCAGTAAAAATGCATTATTTCATTGAAACAGCTTTTTTGCAACCATGACCGATAAGTTTATTGTATCTCTTAAAAAGTGACGGAAAGGGTTTTTTAAAGAACAAAAAGACAACTTTCACCAGAGATATGTAATAGTGAATAGATTGCAAAGAATACACTAACCAAATTATTAAGGTAGCCAAATAAAAAAATATGCTTTTCCTAAAGGGTTCTTTATAGAAAATTAACACTAAAAACACAATTTATTCAATCTTATTCTTTAACATTTTATTTATTTCAATATAATATATAAACTTTTTGCGATTCATATAAATACATTTACGACTATCAAATTTTTTTTTTACTTTACTATTCATCATATGCCATACATATTTTAATTCCGGTAGATATACCATTGAAAGTGTCCCTTCAATATTATAAAAATATAATGTAATAAATATTATACTTACCTGATCAACTAAAAGCTTCGGATCCCTAAAATTAACTATTACCAATACGTTCACGACTCTCACCACTTTGTTAAAAGAAATTTCAAACAAAACATCTACGGCAATAGGGTTGTGCAATTTTTCTTTTTTTATAAATAGCAATCCTTTGTACAGAGTCGATGTTTACAAATAAAGTATAAGTCAAAGGGTTTTAAATCACGGTGTCGAAAGCTTTTAAAACATGCTTAGAACAGGACCATTGTTTTGTTGGCACGCTCATAAATTGCTTTATTACCCGACTCTCCGCGACCGTTCTGCGAAACTTAATATCGCCAAAATCGCAGTCAAAACATCTTATGTTGTTATCATACGACAATAAGCTAATATAAATGCGTTAATCGAACATTACTTGCTTTTTACGTAGATACTATCTACGCTGCAACGAAAAACTCTATATCCATATACTCACCATTGTTTTAATCGTTTTATTTATTGAAAATATAATATATTTATATCATTTAAAGTGACGTTACCACAATAACGTTACATTCTTATCTCTATGATAAAATTATGAATGTTCGCTTGCATTATTATTCATGCGTAGAATTAAAATTAAAATATTTATCATAATTTTCGACAATCATTTTTTAAATATTATTTCTGTTATATTAGACATTGACTGAGAAAATTGCTTAAATATTGGTATAAATAAAGTTAACCAAACATATAAAATATTAAGAGTTTATAAAAGTCGTTTTATTGCGCCATAACAATTAATAACTAATCACTGTCAATCGTAACTCTACAGTTATAAAGCTATAGACGCTAGTGCTGTAAAAAAAGTTCATCCGCGAACAATAACATCTGAGAATTGACCATAAAGTGGCGACCTTGCGGCAATAAAAATTTAACGAGGCAAGCCCGTGGAGTACTATAGTATAAACATACCGCCAGATTTGTGAACGTGACTATCATAGAAACAGCTGGCTCTACATCTGTGTAGCGAACAGTTATATTATAAATATATTAGAGTTATAAATACGGAAAACAAAACTTAATTAATTACATAATTGTTCTTTCGTTCTTTGAAATAAGCTTTACTCTTATTGATATACCTAGAACCTAAGATATTTTAATATAGAAAATATTGATAACTTTAGTTTATAAATAGGTAATATATTATTAAAAAGATTACTATTTTATTGCTATTAAATATTTTGACAATCAGATAATTCATAAGTATAGTTAAAGCTAAATAGATAAGGCAAAATAAAACATTCAGGGCAGTTATAAAACGTAAGATAAAAATATGATTGGTATATACGGGTGTCTCTCAGTGCATTTTGTATCTACTTATATGTAGATATATTTAGAACAAAGTCGGATTATTTACACCGTTTATAACTTAAGAATGGCTGGACCGATTTTTATGATTTTTGATTTGTTGCATTTGTCTCCTTCCCGAATAGCAGAATGACTATTAAATATCGGGAAATATCTCGAAAAATTACATGGCTAACACTGGCTAATAACTATTCATATCTATTTAAAACGTGCCTTAGTAGGGACGAACCCGAGCAAAGCGATGGTAAGTCGTTAGTTTTTAATATTATATACAGGCAGCGCCACCTTTTGGTAAAATTTATTGCTAACAGTAGCCTTTGTGTTAATCCAGGTCATAGGCTATCTGTGAACTATATATATCCAATAATTTCAGCTGTTTCAGAAACAAACATACGCACACATACAAACTCTCCCATTTAAAATAATGTAAGATAAAAATAAGATATTAGCGTGACCGCGAAACAATTAGATCTCGTATTCTCTAGAGCTCGCAAGTTGTACGCGATGCCACTATTTAAAAACAAATGTCAATGTCAGTTTATTCGGGTCGTAGTATTCGTTGCGCGCTCGCACAGAACGCATAACTTACCATAACACGGTATTCCATACTATTCGTACACTTATCTACATTTGTCGTTCAAGGCTATAGTTGTTGCTATTACATATTATGTAACAGCTATAGCTCTAAAAATGCATGCAGGTTGTTGACCTCACCGAATTAATAAATTATGCAGTGCATGATCTTGCAAATATAACGTATGAATATATGCATTCGGCACGCGGTTCTAAGGCAAAAATTTTGCCAAGACGAACAATTTAGACTCTGTTTAATGATAATAGTCATTTGTAGTGTTGTATAAGTAGCTGTTATATTTAAGAGATTTTTAGCGGGCGTTATATAATTTCATGTTCACATTTAGACTTTCAAATAGGTACTACAATATATTATAGTTAATTTTTATATAACTTTTGAAAGAAGTATTTTGAAATTATATATAAAACTATATATTTTAAACAAAACGAGTTAGATTACTTAGAACGTACATATTTTTGAATTCTATGTTATGTCTCTTCATATGTTTGGAAACTTAATACGTTTGACGTATGAATGTCTCTTAATATGTTTGAAGCAGCAGAATAATGCACTTACATTTTAATATAATAACATAAATTTACATAATCCCGAGTAATTCCGAAATATTTATTCACAAGCATTAAGGCGCTTTGCATTTTCAGAACAATCGTCGCACATTATCAACTAATTTTAAGTATTTAATGGACTTTATTTTTAGCCCACAACAAGTTAAGAGCAAAATGCCTTTCTTTAAAGTGCTTCCTATTGATCGATACATTTTTAATCTATTGTGACATTCCCAACCTATTTATTCTACTCTTTGGCATGACATTTTAAGTGTCATTCTTATATTGGTGGATTCTGGAACAAGTTAAAGTTATCTCAATAAACATGTATCAATCCACTCTCAAGTGTCGGACTACTTTAGTCATTTATCTTTACCTCCATTGATTTTAATACCGATAGAATTTCTAAAGCTCAGCGCTCGTATCCGTATCATTTACGCTGTGCAATTTACTCAGACGATTGCTATTTCGCAAGGGTCAAAAGGTCTCTATCAAATATGAGTTTTGGTCAGTAAATTTGAAATAGGTATTACTCGACCCGAACCTTTACTGAATAATATATAACATTTTATTAAACCTTTAATAGATTTTTCGTAACATACGCAGGTCTATAGTAAATAAATATCGAAAGTTAAGTCCGGAAAATAAATTTTATGTGTTTTTTTAATATTATAATATATGCGAAGTGTGAGCGTGTTTATTGGTTAGTCGTTGGCTCTAGAAGATGAATGGCAATATAAAGAATAAATATGATATTTTCGTGAATCATGCGTTATGTTATTTTGCAAAAAATTGCTTTAGGACGAATAATTTTAAATACATATAGATTTTTACCCTCGCTATGCTCAGGTGCGTATCTAGACCCCCCCCCCTTTACCTGTCATTCACTCGGTCCATTAGTGAAAACTGAAAACCGTACGAAAAACTGTTCGGTAGTTTTTAAGTTTATCGCGTTAAGACAGACGGACAGACAGACACGGAGGGGGATTTTATTTAACAACAACCGGCTCACTCTCGCTTCGCTCGGGTTCATCGCTAGGTACGTTTTGAATATATATAAATAGTTATTAGCGTTAACCATATAATAAAATATTTTTATATTTTTTCTCTTTATTAAAACTTTCTATGTACCATAAGGCACATCCCAAAAAAAATTGATAAATTGGTCGCGCCGTTCTCGAGTTTTGCGCTTAGCAACATTCATTTTTATTTATATAGAATAGATATGTATATATTTTCTACTTCTCGCATACATTAAATATTAAACAGTAGGGAAACTCTACGATTAATCGTAGCTGGGTAATCCAACACAGGCAATTTTCATCGACAAAGCATTAGTTACTGAAGATTTCACAAATTATAATATTAAAATAACATCCGGGAATGCGAATTAATTGCTTTGCTTGTCGAAAACACTTAACGCTCAAAGTATTCTTGAAGATAGGTATAATGTAAAGTATGAAATATTTCATTATACCTACCTACATAAGTATACCGTTTCAAACAAATATTCCCAATAATTTGTTTGAAGTTTAATAATATATTACATAAAATATTTACATATTTTATAAGAAATTTGAACAGCATTATTTATATAACCGCAGTTATTTTTAAATTATTTAATAATTAATT